CCAGCTTTGCCCATGGCAGAGCCCAACAATGAAGCAGTGCAGTCTTGGGGGTACACACAGGGCAGTGGGGGCTGCTTCAGCGTCCACATGGTGCATGTGAGCTACATGAGAGTGCGTAGGTGAACATACAGGAGTGTATCTGTGTATGTGTGTATCTGAGTGTGTGCACACGTGTGTGCCTGCATCCGTGTGTGCGCATGTACTTAGGGACGTGTTTGTGCACGTGTGTGAGCGTGTCCATGCCTCGGGGGGTGTGTGGAGGTGTGATGGACATGTCTCCATGTGTGCACACGTGTGTCCCTGTGCACACGTGTGTCCCTGTGCACACCCGCGCACACACACGTGGCTCCAGAGGCCGCAGCTCGCTCTGCTCCTCCTGCCCCGGTTCGCGCTGTTCGGGGGGTACCGGGGTCCTGCTCAGGGGAGCTCCCGGTGCCGGTGGATGCTGCAGGTGCGGGATAACGAGCGATTCCCGCCGGCATCGGAAGCCCTTGAGGGCAGGGACCGGCTTCGCACCCTCCAGGGAACACCCCCCTCGGCTCCCACGGCCCCGGTACCCCCGCACCCCCCTCCTCCACTCCTGCTGCGGTCCCACAGCCCTGTGGGACCGAACGGGGGCCCGGGGGTCTCGGGGCTGCCCGGTGCCCCCCGCCCCCGCCCGCCCTGCCCCCGTCGCCATGGGCACCGCCCGCGAGGCGCCGCGCTGACAGCGCGCGGGGTTTTATGAATGGGTGACGTCACGACCCTGGCGTCTAACGGTCTGGGCCGTCGGGGGGGCTGCGGGGGGCCGGGAATTCGGCGGGGGGGAGAGGGCAAGGGGGGAGCGGGGCTGTGGGAGCCGGAGCCGGGGCCTGCGGGGCGATTGCCCACGGCGATGGCGGGGGAGCTGTCGGACGGGTGGCACCCACCGGCACCCCGGTACCCCCCAGCACCCCCGGGTCCCCCCGCGCTGCTGCCCCTTTAAGGCGCTGCCCTTCGGGAGAGCATGAATGGGATGGGCGGGGCGGTCCCCTCCCAAGTGGCGCTGCCATTGGCTCCGCGGCTCCCCCGTGGCCCCGCCCCTCCATCAGCCGCGCGCTATAATTGGCGCGGCGGGGCGCGGGCTCTGCTGTCCGCCCGCAGGGTCCCGCCGCCGCCGGTCTGTCCCCGCCGCCCCGCGCTATGAAGGTCGCTGCCGTTGTCCCCTCGCCGCTGCCCGCGGGCGCCGGTGGCGCGCTGAAGGCGGTGCGGCCGGGGGAGGCCGCCCGCTGCGGGCCGGGGCCGGGACCGGGGGTATCCCCGGGAGCGGCGGAGCAAGCGGCCGCCGCGCTGCTCTATGACATGAAGGGCTGCTACTCGCGGCTGCGGGCGCTGGTCCCGACGCTGCCGCGGCACCGGCGGGTCTCCAAGGTGGAGCTGCTGCAGCACGTTATCGACTACATCTGGGACCTGCAGCTGGCGCTGCAGCGCGGGCCCCCCCGCCCCGCCGCAGCCGGGGACCCCCCCGAGGTGAGTGCGGACTCCCCGGGACCGGCCCCGCTTTCAGCCGGCCCCTCCGGTTCCCCGGACCCCTTCCTCCTGCCCCCTTCCATCCCCGGGACGTCCCCGACCGGTTCTGACCGCTTCGCCCTCCTCTCCCGCAGGCTCCGTGCGTGTCCGCTGCCGACCGGATCCTCTGCCGCTGAGACCGTTCCGGACCCGCCGCGGACATCCCGGGACCGTGGCCGCCTGCATCCCGGGTCCCCCCCGGGGGGGGATCCCCCCGCAGCCCGGGCCGGGGGTGCTGCCCGTTGTATCCTTCTCAGATTGCTGAGAGCATTCCCCGTATTGTATATTACAATGATGCTGGAGAATATTGTTCTACAATAGCTGGAATTTTGTTATTAAACAAGCCCTGATGACCAGGTGCGTCTCTGCTTCCTCCCCCTCAACCCCCCCAGGCTTTGGGGGCAGCCCCCCCGAGAGTCTGAACCTCGGGGATCCTATCGGGACCAGTGCGGGTGCTGGAGTCCCTCATAGGCTCATCCCAGTCGCCCCAGTGCTGCTGTTGTGGGACCTGTCTCAGCACTGCACCCACAGGCAGCTATCGCTGTGTGCTCCGTGTCCTGCATTCCCCTCACTCCCAGGCTCAGACATGGGGTGCTGGGGCTGGTGCACCCCGGATTCTGCACTAGGAAGCTGCAGCAGCACTGGGATGTGTTCCTCCTGTGTGGGCACCTTGATGGGATGATGCCACGGAATGGATGGTGCTGGGAGCTGGGTGAAGGGCTCTGTACCCCCTTGGAGACTGTGGGATGCCAGTGTCTGCATGGGTGTGAGTGCGCAGCACAGCCCTGTCCTTGCACCGAGCTCCTGGTGCTGTGTTGGGGTGCAAGGCTGTGGGCGATGCTCCCATTGCACTGCCCCAAGGGAACGGGTGCAGGCGCCAGGGTGCTGCCCTGCGGCTCTGTTTGGGTGCAGGTGCTGGACAAGCTCCCTGGGACAAGGAAGTTGCATCAGGGGTTGCACAACCCCGCGGGCCGGGGCTGCCCTCAGCTCCTCTGTGACTCAGAAGCACCTCGGGGCCGAGCCGCCTCCTGCCGCAGCTGGGAATGGACCCTGCTGAGGGGCTGCGGGGCAAAGCGGGCTCACGGGGGGGGTCCTTCCTGCCCCCCCTCACTGGTCCTGCAGAGGGGGCTCAGGGGTTCCCCCCCCACCCCGGCTGCAGGGGTGCATGATCACCTGTGTGTGTTTGCATGTCCATGGCATGCTCACAGCCCCATGCACGTGTGTGTGCGTGTGCATCTGCCCCCTCGCGTTCCCCAGCCCAGCAGGTACCTGGCAGGGGGAGGTGATTTGGGCAGCTGGGGCACTGCTTGTCCTGGCTGTGACACAGCGCTTGGGGCACATGGAGTGCCGTGGGTCCAGGTTGCTGTGGATGATTTCCCTTCCATCATTACCCCCTGTGAAGCTGCCATCAATTCCCTCCATCACCCCCCAGTTCCCCTCTATCATCCCGCTGGTGTCCCCTCCATCACCCCCAGTTCCCCTCTATCATCCCGCTGCTGTCCCCTCCATCACCCCCCAGTTCCCCTCTATCATCCCACTGGTGTCCCCTCCATCACCCCCCAGTTCACCTCTATCATCCCGCTGCTGTCCCCTCCATCACTCCCCAGTTCCCCTCCATCGCCGCTGCTCCCGCCCGGTCCCGCAACGCGGGGCTCATTGGGTCCCTCTCCCGGTGCCCGCCCGCACTGCACAGCCCGGCCGGGACCGCGCTCCCGAAGGGTCCCGGTGAGGGGAGAACCGGACCTGGGGGCTCTGCTCCCCCCGGAGCCGTCCTTGCCCCGTTCATTGCCCGTAGATGTGGGAGCTCCGCCTGCAGCCGTGGGCTCTTGGACCCCACATCCAACCCCAAGCCCCGTGTGCCCCCCGGCCATCACCCGCCCAGGGCAGGGGGACCGGTGCGGCGTTGCCAAAGGGCTGGCACCACCGGGCCAGGCTCGGAGCGGGGCTGAGCTGTTGCCACGTGCCGGGATCCCGGATTTGGCAGCACCAGGATGCCCCGGAGCGCCCAGGCCTGCGGCCGCCTGCACCCCAACCGCTCCCCGGTTGTTTTCATGGGGCCTGATTCATCCCGGAAGGGATTAGGGACCGGGGTGCTGGTGACGCGCTGGTCCAACCAGCCCGGCCACCCCGGGATGGACACGGCTGTCAGAGCTGGTCACTGCCACGTACGGCCCTGGGGACATGGCAGAGCTGGCACCAACGCTGGGACCTGTGGCTCGCATGGACTGGGGCTCTGTGGCCACCGGCCGTGGTGAGTCTTGGGGCATGGGGGGGGTATTTGGGGATGGAGGGGCTGTGGGGGGGACAGGGCCGGTGGCCGCGGTCAGCACTGGCCTTTGGGGTGCTGCTGGTGGCTGTGGCCATGGCTGCAGCCATGGTTGGCGGTACTGGGAGTCCCTGGTGAGGGGGAGCTGCTCTTGAGGGGTCCGTATGGGAGCAGTGCCCAGCGCTGTGGGCCCTCTGCTGAGGTTGGCCACGGGCCCTGTGTCCCCTCATGGTGCTGGGGTGGAGCCCTGGACCCCTGGAGGGACCCCTGCATGCCCCGGTAGCCGCAGCCCATGGCCTGGGGCTCCCCCCCCGGGGACGGTCCCACCACCACCACCACCACCAGCACCAGCAGCACCAGCACAAGCTGCTCCTCGCCTGCGGCCGGGGCTTTTGGAGGGGATTGCACAGTTCTGCTCTCGCTCTGCCTGCCCCGATGTTCCCAGCGCCCCGCAGCCGCCCTGACCCCACTGACCATCGGGTGCCCCAGTGCAGGGCCCCCAGAGCCATTCCCAAAGTGGGAGCAGCCGCTGCTCCCCAGTGCGAGTGGGTCGAGCCCTGCCCCAGCAGAGCAGCTCCCTCTGTGCTGGGACCAACTCTCTCCATCCCCCTGCTCCTCCATCACCTTCAGTCCCGGCATAGCCAAAGCCCCTCAGGACCAGGTCTCTGCGCCCCCATGGAGCTGTGGGTCCCTATGGGGAGCCCTGGCTGGTGGCACGTGGCCGGCAGCAGCGCAGCTGTGGGACCCTGCCTGCCCCTCGCTCCCACGAGTGGGAAACAACGGGGAAGCGGCTTCCCCTTTGAGTCACGCGTTGGGCAAGGCCGGGCTTTCGGTGCCGGAGCGCTGCGGTGGCCCCGCGTGTGCGCAGGAGCTGATGTAACCCTGGCCCCATATAAACCCTGGCCGGTGCCTGGGGATGGGGTCTCTGCACAGCCGCGTGTCCCATGGCCGCATCCTCTGCTCCAGCCACCAGCTCCCAAGGCTCTCTGGGACCAGCATGGCTCTGCCTCCTGCTCCTGATGAGCGCCTGCGTGCCCATCACCGGCATCAACCCCGGCATCACGGCCCGGCTGACCCGGAGGGCACTGGAATTCGGTAGGTACCTGCCCCCTGCTCTGTGGATAGAGCCCCTCCAACACCATCCTTGGGGTTGCTGTCCTGGCCCTGCTTGTCCCCTCCCCAGCATCCTGGGTACCACAATGCCCTTTCCTGGGTGCCACATCCCTGCTCTGCCCCAGGCCGGCGCTTTGGGATGGAGCTGCTCCAGTCCCTGCTGCAGAAGGAGCATGAGCTGGACCTGCAGGGCTCCTACCACATCCCGCTCCTGGGGACGCTGAACTACACCGTGCCCCGGTAAGAGCTGTGCACGGGGTCCCTGCCCCATCCTTGTCCCCATCCCGGCCGTGTCCCGGATGCAGCCACAGGACTGGGCCGTCCCTGTCGTGCAGGATCCACATCCAGGAGCTGCAGGTGAACGACTCCAGCTTGGACTTTGCTGAGGACGTGGGGCTGAGGCTGACGGTGCTGGGCGCCCGCATCCGGCTCAGCGCCGAGTGGGGAGCGCGCCTGGGGGCCGTGTGAGTCCTGCATGGGGATGGGGATGGGGATGGGGACCATGGGGGCACCGCTGTGCCCGTGCTCACCCCCTCCATCCCCAGCCAGGACAGCGGCTCCCTGGAGCTCCACGTGCAGGACCTGGCCATGGTGGCGGTGCTGGGGCTGGGTGCGGATGCTGACGGCCGCCCCGCGCTGTGGAGCGCCGGTTGCGATGCCCGCAGCACCCACCTGCGCCTGCAGTTTCACCGCGGGCACAGGTAACGGGCACCCGCTCCCCTCCTGCCCCTGGTACACAGGGACCCCCCCCCAGTGTCCGCAGTGGGGTGGTGATGAGCCGGGGTAATGAGGACCCTGCTCTGCCCCACAGCTGGCTCTACAACCTCCTGGCACCCCCGCTCCAGGGGACCCTGCAGCAGGAGCTGAACAAGCAGGTGGGTGCTCGGGCCCTGCTCTATGGGGTGTCGGTGCCCATGGGTCCCCCTTCCATGGCAGGCACAGGGAGAGGTTTGGGGACCCCCCATCCATGGCCTCACTGATGCCCTGCTCTGCTCCCAGCTCTGCATCAAGCTCCGCAAAGGTGTCTTCAAGCTGGAGGATGCCCTGAAGCAAATGAGAGGTGTGTGAAGGACCCCGAGGGCCAGGCAGGGTGGGATGGGGGGGGCTGGTGCCCAGTGGGGTCTGCATCCCCAAAACCTGCCCCGTGTCCCTGCAGTGTCCACCCAGGTGGACGCCTTCGTCGCCATCGACCATTCCCTGCTGGGGCCACCGGCCATCACGGCAGAGCACGGGGACATCGCCGTCAAGGTAACATCATCCCTGGGCTGAGTGCAGGCGAGCACGGCTGAGCTTCACATCCACCCCTCCATCCACCCCTCCATCCACCCCTCCATCCATCCCTTCATCCACCCCTGCATCCATCCCTTCATCCACCCCTGCATCCATCCCTTCATCCATCCCTCCATCATTACCTTCATCATCCCTGCATCCATCCCTCCATCATCCCTCCATCATTACCTCCATCCACCCCTCCATCCACCCCTCCATCCACCCCTCCATCCACCCCTCCATCCACCCCTCCATCCACCCCTCCATCCACCCCTCCATCACCCCTCCATCCACCCCTCCATCCATCCCTCCATCCATCCCTCCATCATTACCTTCATTATCCCTCCATCCATCCCTTCATCCATCCCTCCATCCACCCCTCCATCCACCCCTCCACCCATCCCTTCATCCATCCCTTCATCTCCCCTCCATCTTTCTCTCTTCACAGGGAGAGTTCTTCAGGTTGCACAAGTTCCAGCAGAGGCCCTCTTTGGCGCTGCCGCTGCCGGTGCCGGTGGCGCTGCCGGTGGCACACGAGCCCATGCTGCTGGTGGCTGTCACCGACTTCGTCGCCAACTCGGCCGCCTTCGCCTACTTCACGGCTGGGGCCCTGCGCAGGAACATCTCCAGTGCCATGGTAGGGACGGGTCTGCAGAGCTGCCCCCTCCGGGCTGTCCCCAGGGTGTCCCCAGGGTGTCCCCAGGGTGTCCCCAGGGTGTCCCCAGGGTGTCCCTGCGCCTTCTGTCCCAGCACCCTGACCCTCTGCTGCCTTCCAGCTCCTGCGGCGGTTCCCGCTCCAGCTGAAGACCAAGAGCTTTGGGATCTTCACCCCACAGGTGGCTGCGGGTGGGATGGGGCATGGGGAGAAGGGACAGAGGTGGGATGCAGGCAGGACGGGATGGATGCAAGCAGGATGGGATGCAGGCAGGATGGGGATACAGGTAAGATGAGATGCAGGCAGGATGGGATGCAGGCAGGGTGGGATGGAGGCAGGATGAGATGCAGGCAAGATGAGATGCAGGCAGGGTGGGATGCAGGCAGGGTGGGATGCAGGCAGGATCGGGATGCAGGCAGGACGGGATGCAGGAAGGATGGGGATACAGGCAAGATGAGATGCAGGCAGGATGGGATGCACAGAGCAGGGGGGTGGTGGGCACCCCCTAGGAGCCCCAGTTGGTGCCAGTGGTGCCGGTGCCAGCCCAGCCCTGCTTCCCCCTCAGCTGCAGGAGCGTTTCCCAGACCAGCCCATGGAGCTGCAGGTCTGGGCCCGCCGGCAGCCGCTGCTCTCCTGCCACCCTGATGCTGTGCATGGGGCCCTCTTTGGCTCCGCTGAGGCCTTCGTGCTGCTCCCCAATGGCACCCGTGTGCCCGCTTTCCTGCTGGATATCGTGAGTGGCTGATGCTGGGTGATGCGGGGAGATGCTGGGGTGATGCTGGGCAATGCTGGGTGATGCAGAGTGATGTTGGGTGATGATGGATAACGCTGGTGTGATGCTGGTGATGCTGGGTGATGTTGGGTGATGCAGGCTTGCACTGCTCTGATCTTTCCAACACCCCCTGCTGCAGGATGCCAATGTGACAGGGAAGCCAATCATCACTGGGAACAGGCTCGGGGCCACCATGAGCCTGAAGGGGTGAGTGCCCAGTGCTGGGTCTGGTCTCCCTATGGATGTACCCGGGAGCTCCCCCCATTCCCCACCCGTGGCTGTTTCCCTCCCTGGGTCCCGTATCGCCTCTATCCTGCTGCCCTGGCACTGGGACCGGCTGGGTCCTCAGCTGGACCCGTCCCTTCCCTGGAAGGGGCCAGTCCCCATCCCTGTCCCTGGCTCTCACCCTGCTCCCATCCTCCAGGCTCAGAGTGATGCAGGTGACATCGCACGTGGGTCCGGTGGAGGTGAGTGGCCACGAGTGGGACAGGGACAGGACAAGGGGGCCTTGTCCTCTGCATCCCCTGGGAGCAGGCTCAGGGGGGTCCTGGGGGTGCTGTGGGCCCCGTGCCGGGCTCAGGGCTGCTTGTCCCGCAGGTGCAGAGGCTGGAGACGCTGCTGAGCTTGGGGCTGAGGCTTTTCGGGGTGCCCAGAGCCAACAGTGAGTGATGTCCCTGTGCTGTCCCCATTGTCCCCCTCCGGCTGCCCCCTCACGCTCTGCTCTCCCCACAGAGTGGCTCCAGGCCCGTGTCCCCCTGCCCACCCCGCACGGCCTCCGCCTGCTCAACCCGCGGCTCTCGCTGCACGAGGTGGGTGCTGCTCCCGCCCCCCGCCCCCCGGTTCCCCCCTAACCCCCCCCATTGTCCCCCTCTCACCCCCGTTCCCCACAGGGTTTCATGCTCATCACCACGGACCTGCAGCACGAGCAGTGACACCGGATGCCTCGTGGCCCCATCACCGTCCCCATCCCAGCCCCGCTGCCCCCAGCACCGGCCCTGGGACCCTCCCGCCCCTCCGCGGCGCTGCTGCTCCGCGGCCGCTTCCCCCCATGGCCACGGGGTGGCGCCCGTGTCCCGGCGCTGCCCCGGCGGTACCGGGGGTGCAAGGGGGGGGGTCCCTGCGCTTGGGGCGTGCTGGGGGGGGGGCGCTGGGGCTGTGTCAGCAGAGAACGGAGCGGTTCGGATGGAAGGGACCTTAAAGCTCCTCCAGCCCCAACCCTGCCACGGGCAGGGACCCCTTCCACTGGAGCAGCTTGCTCCAAGCCCCTGTGTCCAACCTGGCCTTGAGCACTGCCAGGGATGGGGCAGCCACAGCTTCTCTGGGCACCCTGTGCCAGCGCCTCAGCACCCTCACAGGGAAGAGCTTCTGCCTAAGAGCTCAGCTCAGTCTCCCCTCGGGCAGGTTCAAGCCATTCCCCTTGGCCTGTCCCTACATCCCTTGTCCCAAGCCCCTCTCCAGGTTTCCCAGCAGCTTTCCCCTCTCCCAGCAGCCGCTCTCCTCCCCCAGCAGCGCTGTGGATGCTCCCCTGCCACCATCAGTGCACGCAGCCCCTTATGAGCCCACAGAACGAGCATTTGGGCCTGGCCTTGGCTGCGCAGGGCTCTGCTCCTGCCAGATCCATGCACCTCAGGCCAACCACAGCCACCCCTCCTTGGGCCACCCCATCCCTCCCCTGTCCCCATCCATCCCCAAGCCCGGCGTTCACAGAGAGCACAGCACCAGCAGCAGCTCCAATGACAAGAGTTTATTTGTGGACCCACCTCCACCTGCAACCCGAAGCGTTCCCTGGGCAAACGCTGCTCCCTGCGCGCTCCGGCCGGGATCTGCTCCTGGAGCCAGCGCATCCCGCACCGGGAACACGACCCCGTGCTTGGGGGAGGCCAGGCAGGACCCACCCCCCCCCCACCACCACCACCACCCCGTTGGCCTCTGCAGGGAGCACGGCCCCACACATAAATAGGGACAGACGAGATAACAAAAATAGCATTAAAGAGTATTCACAAACGGGTTAAAACCTACGGGGTCTGTACAGCAGAGCGGGGGCCGCGGCGCTGCCCGAGCCGGGCGCAGGGCACCGGGGGCCGGGGGGGGTCTGGAAGCCAAGCTCAGCTCGGAAGCTGCCGCACGCACCCATCACAGCCACGCCGGGGCAGGGTCTGCCTGGGCTATGGGGAGCAAGGGACAAGGAGGCTCTGAGCTGGTGCCAACCCTCGGTGCCCGCAGGGATGGGCCATGGGGGGGCTCTGCTTCCCCTCCTGCATCGCTTCCTCCATCCCCCGGGGTCCTTGTGCCAGGGCAGGGGCTGGTTCAAGCGCTCTGCCCCTCGCCTGCCTCCCTCCTTTGGGCAGGCCCCGCTGCAGTTTACATTCAGAGGGAGGAGGAGGAAGAGGATCCCTTCATCGGGGCACAGCCTCAAGCTCTGTCCTCACTGAGCTCAGCTCCCAGCAGCTGGAACCGGGGAGAAAGGGGCTGATGTGAGGGCAGAGCTCGCTGCCTCCAGCCTCTCTGCCTCTTCCTCCTCACTCCCCTCCACCACAGGGATGAGCTCTGCCTGGAGGAAGCAGGGACAGGACCGGGATGCTGCAGGGATGCTCCATAGCAACGGGAGCATCCCTGCCTCTTCCCAGGGCAGCCTCGACCCTCGCTCTGCCTGGGGCACCTTACGTTAGTGACACATCTACACACACGCACGCACTCACACATGCAAAAATAAGTCTGTTTATTCTCTTCCAAGTGACCTGGAGGACCCTGCAGGGAGGGGGCACCTCCTGCACCCCCCCCCGGGTCCCCCCAGCGTGGGAGCTGGTGGCTGAAGTGCTGCCGTGGCCTCAGCGCCTTTAAAACACAACGGGAGGGATGGGGACCGGGGGGCTATGAGAGGAGCGGCGCGGGGAGGAGTGTGGTGGCTGGGGGGTGCGGAGGGGCCGGCTCACTTGCGGCTCAGCAGGGATCCCAGCAGGAGCACCCCGGCCACCGTGGCCCCGGTCAGGAGCCATTTGTTGAAGGTCTCTTGGCCCTTCCTCACCTCGGCAGCAGCATCGTTCCCATAGAGGTCCACAAAGCGCTCCTGTGGGGAGAGGGAAGCGGTGAGCAAGGGGCTGGGAGTGGGGCAGGGGGCATCCTTGAGGGTCTTTCCCCTTCTCACCATGGCATAGGGTGGGAGGCGGTGACAGGGACTGATGCCATGGGTGCTTCCCTGCTCTGAGGGCGATGGGAAGCACAGCATCAGTCATGGAGAAGGGGATGCCAAGCAGGGTTTGCAAGGAGAGCACCATGAGGGCAGGGCGGGAGATGCTGCATCCATCACATGCTGCGGGCTCTCTAATATCAGCATCAAAGTGTGATAGAAATCACTGCAGGAGGAGGACACCGGGCTTTTTAGCCCATGGCTAAGGCATGGGGAGCTGCAGCAGGGCTGGTACCCATGGATGGGGCAGGAGCCTACAGGGTTCATCCCTTTTGCGTCCAAAGTGGAGGCTCCCATCACCCCCAGCACTGCCACATCCCGGCCGGCACTGCTTGCTCTGCACCACGAGCTGCATTTCAGGCAGCTCTGTGGTGAAGGCAGGCACTGGGTCACCAAACTGCTGCCCAAGCAGAGGTGGGGACAGCATTGAGACACACAGCATGGCCTGGACTGGGGGTGATGGAGGGCATCTGCCCCTGCGCCCATGCGGCACCCATGGCACAGAGCCACCCTCTGCTCAGCATCACCAGTCAGTGGCTGCTCGGGCCCCCAGGGAAGGAGGGGTCCATGCACAGGGGCCTTTACCCCCGGGTTATCAGGGCCGAGCAGGAGCCCCGGGCTGGAGGAGCTGGAGCTGAGCTCCAGGCCCCGGGCCCAGGCTGGCGTCAGCAGGAGCTCGCCATTGTCGCACCTCGAGCCCCAGTTCCCAGCAAGGTCCCTGCTCCCTGATAAGTGAGAGCAGTTCCAGTAACGCAGCCGCTCTGGGGGAGCACAGATAAGCCCGGCGGAGGCTGCGCTCCTGGCACGACTCACCATGGGCTCCCCGAGGCAGGGGCAGCATCACTGCATCCTCTGCCATCCCTGCCTGCTCTGCCATCCCTGCCTGCTCTGCCATCCATCCCTGCCTGCTCTGCCTGCTCTGCCATCCATCCCTGCCTGCTCTGCCATCCCTGCCTGCTCTGCCATCCATCCCTGCCTGCTCTGCCATCCCTGCCTGCTCTGCCATCCATCCCTGCCTGCTCTGCCATCCATCCCTGCCTGCTCTGCCATCCATCCCTGCCTGCTCTGCCATCCCTGCCTGCTCTGCCATCCATCCCTGCCTGCTCTGCCATCCATCCCTGCCTGCTCTGCCATCCATCCCTGCCTGCTCTGCCATCCCTGCCTGCTCTGCCATCCATCCCTGCCTGCTCTGCCATCCATCCCTGCCTGCTCTGCCATCCCTGCCTGCTCTGCCATTCCTCCCTGCCCTGCCATCCATCCCTGCCTGCTCTGCCATCCATCCCTGCCTGCTCTGCCATCCATCCCTGCCTGCTCTGCCATCCCTGCCTGCTCTGCCATCCATCCCTGCCTGCTCTGCCATGCATCCCTGCCTGCTCTGCCATCCATCCCTGCCTGCTCTGCCATCCATCCCTGCCTGCTCTGCCATGCATCCCTGCCTGCTCTGCCATCCATCCCTGCCTGCTCTGCCATCCCTGCCTGCTCTGCCATCCATCCCTGCCTGCTCTGCCATTCTGCAGAGGTGGAAGGAAAGGAAGGGAAGAAAGGAAGGAAGGAAGGAAAGGAAGGAAAGGAAGGAAAGGAAGGAAGGAAGGAAAGGAAGGAAAGGAAGGAAGGAAAGGAAAGGGCATCCAGGCAGGCACCAGGAGAGGGCCCCCGAGGCAGCTGGCAGCGGCTGCTGCCTTCCATGGTGTGTGCCAGGAGCAGGGGGGGGAAAGGCGCTTCCAAGAAGTGAGTTTTGGGGCCTTGCTTCTCAGAAAAGGAAGCGTTTGCTGAGCAAGAGATAAATGCAGAGGGGCAGCGGGAGCTATCGGCTGCTCCAGGCGGAGGAGAGCAGGGAGGGGATGCGAATCCCTCTGCTTCCCCCGGGAAGGGAGCAGATGCTGGGATGCAGCTGGGGCTGCAGGGACCCGCAGGGGGGAGCAGTGCCCTCCCTCAGGAGCCCCGGCACGACTGCGATCCCAGATGTGAGCCTTGGGAATGGCGATCCCAGAGCAGGGGCAGTGGGAAAGCGGCAGCAGCGGCCTCCCTCCCGTCCTGGGAGCGGGTTGAAGGTGAGGGAACGGCAGCTTGCTCGGCTCCCACACGGCCCCGGGTCCTGGCAGCACCGATCCTGCCCTCCCGGTGCTGGGATCGCCGCTGGGATCTCAGGCTTGTCCGGACACGTCCGGGTATTTCTGGCCTCCCCCAGGCACCTTTATCGGAGAGGAAATAGTTGGAATTCCTGAGTCCATCACAAGGACTGGGGAAGCAACAGCACCGCAGGGTCCCAACGGGCACCGCAGGGTCCCAATGGCCCCCCCTGCTCGCCTGTCATCCCTTCCACCCAGAGAGGACAGCACAGGACATGACACAACAGCACAGCACAGCACAGGACAGGCTGTTCCATCACCCAACACCCGTCACATCCCCTTCCCCACCGTCCAAGAGGAGGATGCTCAGGGCCGGGCAATGAGGAAGCAGTGTGATGTCTACGTAAGGGCTTTGCCTCCCACCCGCCCCAGCACTGGGGAAGGAGTTTCCTTGCTGGAGCCTAAACCAGCACTGACTGGGGAAGGGGGTCCCTGTGGATGCTTCTGTGTGCAGTGACAGAGATCAGAGCCCAGCAGCGCCCAGGACCCTGCAGAGCTGGGCAGGGGGGGGTCTGCAGTGCCCCAGGATGCAGCCCAGCACCGGGGGATGCAGCAGCTCCTGCAGCATTGAGAGCTCTGACCCAAAGTGCTCTCCCGAGCACGAGATGGGGCTGAGCCTGCGCTCACATCCTGGAAAGGGGAAGGGAAACCCAACGGTTCACCCCCCCCCCCCCCAAGATTCAGCTGGTTTCATTCACCAGCACTGCCCAAGAGCTTCCCCAGCTGAGGGGAGGGGGAACCCTTGCTGGATCCCATTAAGGGAGAGCAGAGCAGGTTCCTCCTTCACCAGCACTTGGGGAAAGAGGATTCAGAGACGCTGACCCACAGAGGAAGCAGATGTCGCAATGAACAACATTGTCTGGTGTCCTGTGGGCCAGGGGCAGAGCAGAAAGGGCAGATAGGGGCTCTACTGGGACTATTCATAGAATCCCAGCCTGGTTTGGGTTGGAAGGGACCTTAAAGAGCATCCAGTTCCATCCAGGGACACCTTTCACTAGAGCAGGATGCTCCAAGTCCCTGTGTCCAACCTGGCCTTGAGCACTGCCAGGGATGGGGCAGCCACAGCTTCTCTGGGCACCCTGTGCCAGCGCCTCAGCACCCTCACAGGGAAGAGCTCAGGCTCCCCTCGGGCAGGTTCAAGCCATTCCCCTTGGCCTGTCCCTACAGGGAGCCTCTCCCACCCATGGAGTCCAATGTGTTTTACCAGAAACCTCCCATGGGATCCATCAGGATTGGTCCCACCCGGCCCAACGGAGGTGCAGGAAGTGAAGTGCTTGCCCTAGAGCTGCATGGGCCACAGCATCTGCCCCCCGACCCAGCGCTCACCACGAGGCAATGTTGGAAACAAGGCTGATGCTGTTCCACCTTTGCTGTGACTGCAGCTGTGTCACTGCTGCTGCGGGGTCTCCAGCCAGGAGCGCTCATCTGCACCACCAGCCGTTTGTTAATGAGATGCTGGGAACGGTTTTGTGCTGAGCAGTGCCCCAAGCGTGGCAAAAGCAAGGCAGGAGCTCGGCACAGAGCACACAAAGCCCTGCGTGGAGCAGGCTGCTCCCCGAGCCCCTGCAGGCTGCCAGCTCTCCGCATGGGACCGGCATATGTGAACCCGGAGCTACAACAGGGGGGAAAGGAGGTGATCCTTCAGGGAAGAAAGCAAACAAAAGGATTCCCCAAGGCCGCTATGAGGATCCTGTAAGCACAGCTCAGTGGGGCCCTTTGTGCTATGGAAGGGGAAGGGGCATCCTGGGGGTTCTCCCTCTACCCTGACACCAATGCTTGTCCCCATCACCCTCGGTGCTGTCTGAAGCCCAGGCCTGGAGGGAGGGCAGCAGGGACAGGAGGGTGCCTGTGCCATCGTGCAGCCCTGCCTGCAGTATTGGGAGCGGGCCTATGGAAAGCTGCCATCCCAGGCAGAGGCCTCGGAGCTTCCCCAGGTCCCCACCGTGGTCCCCACCAGAACCCTGGGCAGGCTCTGAACGGGGAGGGGAAGAGGCTCTGGGGACATGAAGGGGCTCTGGGGACATCACAGTGCAGGTGCAAATGCTCCAGAGACCCAGCTCTAACTGTTATGCAAATGGTGACCTCCAGGGAAGCAGCTGCTGATCTCCATGACAATGGCAGGGAATGCCACCCGCCTGCTGCAGCTCCTGCATCTCCTGCTGCGGATGCTGGGATGCTGCTGGGAGCTGCCCCAGCCCAAGCTCCAGGGCTCTGCATTGAGCGGAGCTGGCAATGCTGAGGATGCAGCCATAAACTCGAAGGGGTTAACAGAGTTAAGCACATCCCTGCCTTGCTGGCCAAGCCCCTCGCCATCAGGGATGGAGGCTGTCCTGGGGGCCTCAGCCCAACCAACCTGCGGGGTTTCTGCCTGGCGAGGGCCAGAGCCAGCTCTTTTCCAAGCAGAACCAAGCCCTCACTCGCACATTCCAGCCCTAATCCTCGCCGCGGCAGCTCCTGTCAAACTGGTTCCATCACCAGCGCCAGGGAACCTGCACTAACCCCGCACCATTCAGCGCGATTCCAGCCTTTCCCAAGCACATGAAAGGGGTGAGAGTGACAGCTCTGACCCCCGTCCCTGCCCCGGGAGCCGCTGCGCACAGCACGGCACAGAGAGCTGGGAATTGCGCTCTCCCTTCCAGAAACCTCCTGGAACATCCATGTGTGCTCCAACCGGAGCCGGTGCCAGTGACTAATCCACTTGCATCCATCTTTCATCAGGGTTTCTCCCAGAACTAATGGGGCTGAGGGCTC